CGTACCCTATTTGTCCATAACTGGTGGAAGCATTACATTTGGTCACTTTAGATAACCACCCAGAAACAAAGAAAATCACTCACTACCCGGGCTGCTCCACCTGGAAGTTATGAAAATCTTGACCAATACGCAACATCTTACTACCTTGTTGTTTCCATTTCTCCTGGGCTTGGTCCAAAAAAATTGAGTATGTACCTCAGTTAATTATCTGGACAAGCTCATTAGAATATCCCTCGATCCGACTGGAGGGTACCAAACCAGTGAGTGTGAAAGTCCATAAAACTTCAAGTCAAGAGGAGATACGCTCTTACTCTTTGAGCAATTCCCAGTTGATTGAAATTGGCCATCCCTCGCGGATTCCAAAAGGTATCACGTCTTTTTCAGCCTGATGCAGATTGCAAAAGCCTGCGGTCTGCGGGAACTATGGTTAAAATGCTCATCAATATCTACATGCAAGGAATTAATAAGAATACACGATTAGAGAACTCACAGGTAAACACATCGCATCCTGGTGGCCTGACCTCTTTGTGATGTTTGGTAAAGCGAATAGCGTTGCTTTGAGCCTGAGAAGTTTTTCTGATGGTTCTGATGGTAGGGGGTCATCGCAGAAAGGACATAAGTTGTCCTCGTCGTCATCAGACCAGAGTGGCTCTATGCTGCTCGCTTCAGACAGTTCCAAATCTTCTAAGTCTTGGTCCAAAATCCCCCGGAGTTGAGGTGAGATAACTTCAGATGATTCTAGGCTGACCAAAGCTGAGGGGATTTTCTGAGTAGGACATTTATTGGCGCAATGGTTAGGTAACTTGCAGATGCTACATTTATAAATGCGTTTGGCTTGAGTGGTTGCAAGAGTACTTTGAGTATTTTGAGAAATTTGAGGAGGTTGAGTCACCTTTGGAGCGGATGGAGCCGCTATTTTTGGTTTAGCAATTGAAGGTTGAGACCGTCGAAAATCTTCTTCAGCCAAATCCAAAGTAACTCCGGTCGATTGGAATTCTGGAGGTTCTTCAGCGTTCAGAGACGGAAGAGCAGGAAGTTTGGGTTCTTCTGTCAAATCGTGTTGAATGTCGAAATCGGTTTCATCAAAAGCTTCATCGATAAGTCTGACTGGGCAAGTTGATCGGTTATGACCCACCTTTGAACAATAGCTACATAACGGGGTCACACAGGGCTTTTTTGCTAGTCTTCTTGCTTCTTCTTCATCCTCAAGCTCCATATTGGATTTCCAGCGGCCCTCTTTTTGCGACGAGGTAGGGCGTTTTGCTTTGGTGTGTCGAGGTCGGCCCCGATTGTGTTCTTTGACGACAGCGTTAGAAATGGGAATGAGGGCATATTGGCCTGTTTCGAGCTTGCCAACCTCTTCGTATATTTTGCGAAGAGCTTGTTCGGGTAGCTCGATGATTTGTTCGAGCTTGGTCCTAAGTGCGGTCTTGAGATCTTCATAGGTCGCTGGAGGTTTAGCTTGACTTACTAACCACTGTTGATGAAAAAGCTTGGGTTCTATGTAATCTGAGTCTAACAACGCGTGAGCCAACTCATGAGCACATGGAATGCCCCAAGCCCCACGGAATGTTTTTGTGCAAGGGCGACCCAAACCGTCGGGTATAAGTTTATATTGAGTCTCCAATTTCTTAATCGCAAAATGAGAAATTGCACCGTGCAATTCTTGAAAGCAAGTTGGAAGTCCGAGAAGCGTCTTCTGAGCTTCAACGCCAGTCAAAACTTTGATTTCTTTGAATTGTGTATCGCCTGCACGTTTGAAGGCTTTGAAACAGGTGATGAAGTCATTTGAACTACCATCTAAGAAGTTCTTCAATCAATGGTGGCCGCCTTCGACTCGAGACGTTGATGAGTTGCCGAAATGAGGGGTGCTCAAAGTGAATAGCGCCACAAACTTCTCAGGGCAATAAAGCCAACTTTTCTATAGGTAATCCAATATTCCGTGACTGCGTGCTACAGTTTTCACTTCTTCAAGATTTTCTTCGTAATCTTCAGTTGTTGTGCTCTGCAAAAATCGATTCCATATCTTCATGAAGGCGGTCCATTCCTCCGCCTTGAACTTCTTCTTACATCTTTTGCTGATATTGTGATTAATGTGCCATATGCACAATATGTGAGTAGCATTGGGAAAAACTTTGCCAATTGCGTTGTACAGAGCAGGCTCTGCATCGGTGCAGAACGTCTGTGGGAGCTGCTGGCCTGAGGCCGATTGGTTGTTGATGTTGTTGTCAGTCGCAGTGTCGTTGATGTGGTCAGAGTTGGAGCTAGGGATGTTGTTGCTGTCTGAACCGGTACTGTCAGCGTGGTTTGGGTTACCAATGGGGGGGGGTTGAATTCCCATCCTGAGGAAATACTACTCCTTTGAGTTGTTCCAACGCCCATGAGTACTCGGCCTCAACCTCACTGTGTAAGAAACACAGTGCAATTGTAAATGTCTTGTGCGTGTTTGTGGTACCAACAATGTGCAGGAGCGGTAAGTCGAACCGATTCGTCTTGTAGGTGCAGTCGAGCCCAATAACCGTGGGAAATCGACAAGCCAATTCGATACCTCCCAGGCTAGCCATAAATAATGACTGAAGAGTACCATCTACTGCAGTCTTAGTTCGAAAAGCCCAGTCGTGTTCCATTATCAAGTCCAATAGGCCTTGAATTGGTGTTCAACCATCTAACCATTTGTCCCTTTGTCGATTCAAGGCGTTCCGAATATCCCTAACCAAAGGCTGGGAACCAGGAGCAAAGTATATAAGTTCTTGGATCTGGCCAGCGCGGCAACCAGCCGAGGATAGAAGAGATGTTTGCTGTAAGACATCCTCAGAAAATTGTTTTTGAGTAGTTGTGAGGTTGATCAAAAGGTCCGTGATTGTGCTTGTGTTTGGAGGTGTTTGTTTTGTTCTTTTGGACAATCCATCGGTCACATTGTGAATGGTAGTTGAGAGAAAGCTCGTAGGGACAATCGGTCATTTTTGTTGAGGTTTCGCAAACCTCTGCAACCGAATCTACCGCACGGCCCAGCGAGCACCTGAAATACACTCAAACCTACTGGTGGTGTTCGGATTTGTGACTTTTGATCGCTATACCGTAACCTTGATGTCGTGCAACCGCGTTGAGGTACATGATCCCGCTGGCCATGGCCACAAATCGTTTCCCAAAGAACGGATTTTCCATGAGGCGAACTGGCTCAACACCTAATGGATAAGGATATAATCTTTCATTAATTAGAATTTGTATTTCAACATAAAAAAAAAAGTTAGAATCGAGCTTACCTATTGGAGGCCAGTCCTGATCCCACTCGGCTTGAAGTTCTAACAACTCATCATCATCCACAGAATCATCTACAACGTCTTCACCAGTACTTGCAATCGCGAGAGGTAATGGTAAAGATTTGGATTGAACTGGAGGAACCGGGGGAACAGTAATTGAAGCACTGGTGGAAGTCGAAGTGGCCGGTTGCGAGTTGACAGTACTTGAAGCACGTTGGGATTTACAAGGGGCAGGTTGCAAGTTGATGTTGTTGGAAGCCGGTCTGATGGTGGTCACAGGGGTTTCTGAAGTCGACGGTGCCATCCATGGTTCACGCGTACGTTGAGTAGATATTTCAATAGCTGGAGTAGGTCTTCCGAGGTTCTGTTCGTATGGGACGTGGGGATAATTAGGTGGAGGATAAGGATATGGCGTAAAATTAGGATATCGCCAGTAGTTGTGATTATCAGTTGTATTGGGATTTTCTGGTGTGAGGTACTGATGAGGAGGGTACATATAGGGAGGGTACATATAGGGAGGATAGGGGTACGGAAAGCCTGTCAGTGGAGGCGGTATTGGTGGTATTGGTTGAGGTGGATTAGGCGGAACGATTTGTGCGAGAGTGTTGGCCAGTCGTTTGGAAGCGTTCAAGGGGAAGCCTGATGGAGGAACTTGGTTGGACATGGTTGAAAACCTGATTCCAAAGGATCGATTATCGGGAAGATCAGCAATCGAGATGGTAAATAACAACTAGTAGAGTAGAGAGAAGATCTTTGTCAGAGACGGTCTTTGTTTTGAAAGGAGGGAAGAAATGAGAGTAAAAAGAGAGTGAACAGGAACTTACCATCTTTGGACTTGATCTTGAGTGGTTGTTTGCCAGGTGGTGGTCCAATTAGATATGTCAACTTTCGAAGTTGGGAGGTGAGTGGAGCGTATGGTCTTTGGGGAAGGGGAAGGTAGCGTCGATCGAATCTGAAATCAAAGCTGAAAACGTGCCTACAGCCCGGTTGCATGATGTTACAGCCCGGTTCATGCATATTGCAGCCCGGTTTGTCATAATGCTGCGGCTGCGGCCAAATTTGGCCCCAAAAAACCGGGCTTCGATTGTTTCAAACCGGGCGCCAAATAGCGCGATCCTTTGTGATAAGCTTTTGTGATTTGACTGTATATCCTTGGCAGCAGTGGATTCACTCTTTCATCACGAGGCACTTCAAGTTAAACCAATGTTTTAGATGAATCTTGTGAATCATAAGACGACTTGATAAGGTGAAACTCACACTGACAGGATCGACCTGAAGATGTAAATGACCTCATCTATTAAAGATCTCCCGCTGTGTGCTGAATGATGATGATAATGAAATGACTGAGAGCACGAAATGAAAGAAGTCGGGTAACGGTTACGACACGGGCCTACCCTAGTCCCCCC